CCGAGTCCCTTCGACCCTCCTCACATGCAGGCTAAATCTGAGACATGCAACGGTCCCAAACCATAAATCTAAGCTCCTGGGGCATAACACATGGAGTTTGGAGGGTTTCTAGGGCTTGCAAACCACATATTAGGGACAAAAGGGGAATCTATTGAACTAAGGATCAAGGTAGGAGCTTTCTTACCTGAATAGAAGCTTCTCCCAGAGTAGATTTCGGATCTACTTCCCTTCCTTGCACCCTCCAACCTCCTCCTTCTTCTTCTAAGCTCCAAACTTCCTTCACAAAGCCAAAATCATTTACAAGAACACTATGGGGGCTAGGTGTCGCTTTACAACTCTTTGGGAGTGTTAGGGACGAGAGAGAGACTGAGTTAGAGTGACTAAATGGGGTGCAACACCCGGATTTGAGTTTTATGTCCAAACAGGGCCTACTCGCCGAGTCCAGGACCCGACTCGGCGAGTCCATGACTTAGACTCTGCGCCTCATCCCGCTCCTACTCGGCGAGTCGATCCTTTGACTCGCCGAGTCCAAGGAAAAAAATGCAAAATGCTCAAGGAATTAAATAAAAGAATACGTACCAAGAACCAGGCGTTACACCTTCGGTCGGACCTAAGAAGGTCTAGAGCACACTTGATCTTCTAGTCAGCTGAGCAGGAACAAGCAAATAAACATTCCTCAACATCTAACAACCACCTCATAGAAATAATCAAATCATGAACCCCATCAAACACCCAGGGATTCGTATTGTCGAAGTTACGGTATTGGAAGGCTTTCTCCATGCCAATCCTCACAGTAGCGACGACCGTGGTAGCTGCAGTAGCAGCCTCAGAAAGTGCAGTGTATCGGTCATCAAATAAATCCATCATGGCGGTCCTGATAGACCCAAATAACCCCGGTATCTACCCCCGGATAATACAAACAATCTAAGCATGAATAATCTCCCTAACCTGGTCCTCAGTCAACCCTGGCCTATCCTGGCCACTCGCACATGCTCCTGGTCCGGATCTTAACTCAAATCGCCTCGTAGCCACCATACTAAAAATAAATCAGAAAATACCAGATGAGTCGCATATCATACCACATGATTTATCCCAAACAACAAAACGCTAGGGGTTGTGACTTCCCTGCTACACGTACGGGTCCTGTGCTTCCAGTAGTACTGGCCCATACTACCTTCCGCACCTACCCGTATTTGTCTCAGAATATCATCACAACGACCCTAACAACACACACTAGAATATACATATATCCTATTCTCACTTCCTAGAGAAAGGATAAACATCCCTCACTTGGTCGACTGTCCCCACGTAACTCATCCATGAAACTTCCACCAACCCTGCAGCACTCGTGTATGCTAATCATACATAACACTGGATTATATAGACAATCGAATACCTAATTCTACCCTAAGTCCTTCATCAAACAAGAATGGGAAATAAGGCTAAACCAAACATTCTCAGGCTATAGAATCTTAGTTATGTACAACAATGATGCATATGCTAAGAAACTACAATAATGATGTCAAATCCATGTAAGAAAGAAACCCTAGGCTATTAGGCATCAATTATCAGACAATTCTATCATGCAATTCCTGAAGATCCCTAGCCTATCACCAGTATGTTGTTTTATCATAAACATAATATCATATAACAGTGTAGGTAATTTTGGGTATACTTTCTTGCTCCAGAAGATCGTACACATCACATCCTTCCTTGTTTACTTTTGAAAACATTTTTTGGAAAAATCAGTTTAAAAACTTTTGCAGTTCCCTAGTTTGAGTCTGGATTCACAAGAATGCTCATTCAGTTCTCTCAAACCAAGGCTCTGATACCAAATTGTAACACTCAAAAATCACAAAATTTTAAAATTTTCAAAAATCAACCATTCATCATCATTGTTTACAAAATAGTCATTGTTTTCAAATTATTATTTCAAATCAATTTTTCCCCAAGATCCATGGATAAAAGAGGAAGTTATGTACGATCACACCTACACCTTTCCACGATCCTCAGAAGTACCTGAAACCACAAACTAAAACTGTAAGCCAAATCTTAGTGAGTTACCCCAATGTACCACCACACAACATATAATCAAACAGATAACGGGTCCACAACCTCCTGGTTGGATTACCCCTGGCCCACAAACTAACGGTTGTAATGCCCCAGTCAACAACCTTATGGTTGGAATTCCCAATATATAACGGGTCCATAACCTCCTGGTTAGATTACCCCCGGCCCACAACCTCCCGGTTGGAATGCCTCGGCCCACAACCTAACGGTTGGATTGCCCCGGTTTATTGACTTAGCGCACAAAGCAATACAATCTCAACCCCACCGTACCATGTCGACATGCACATAACAAATAACATATATCCAGCAACAGATAATCATATAACCAGGTAACCGACTAGTAGACAGATCTACAGATTACTACTATATGGCAATATCCTATATACCAGGATACATAACCAAAGGGGTCGACATTGTTGCCTTCGACCCACAAGAACAGTGAGGAAACTCACCTCACAGTCTAACGAATAGTTGATCCAAGTCAACACGAAACTCCATTTTGTTGAAGAACTAGTGGAGATCATGGATCGAGAGATCAAGCGCTTAAAACAGAGTCATATTCTTATCGTCAATGTACGTTGGAACTCTCAACGAGGACAAGAATTCACCTGGGAGCGCAAATACCAAATGATAAAGAAGTATCCCCAGTTTTTCAAATATATCTCATCTACAAGTTGATTTTCAGAATGAAATTCTTTTAATGAGGGATAATATAACAATTGGTAAAAATAAGTTAGAGCTCGGCAGTTAAACCACCACGAACACTCTTGTATTAGGACTTGTTATATGTAATTTGTGTTTATGAAAAGTATTAAAGATATTATACTCCTGGTTACGTTTGGAATGTCTCAACTTGCTCAACAGGCTATAAATCATTAACAAACGAAGCGAATTTCACAAAAACAAATTAACACTATTCGATGCGCTAAAAATAAAATTTATGCATCGATGCATACTTAGGAATAATTTATGATCAAATTGGATAAATTATACACTCACAACCTTGTTGACATAAAGAACTTCGAAAACGTACATCATATGCAAAAGATCCATCCATTTTAATAAACCAAATCAGTATAATACTGGTTTTTCTTAATAATGAAACCCGAAATGGTCCGTTGAGATACTTGCACGTCTAATTTAGAAATTCTTAGAACGTTTTTGAACTCAGACTTAAGTATAATATTTTATTTCATATTCACAATATTTTTAACTCGGAAGAATTATCAAAATCACGAAAATTGTCGAATCGGAGGCTCTTAAACACAAAATTTTAATCGACCTTTCAATTTTCATGTCGTTCTAGATGTCGGATTTAATTTCCTTTTGCATTTCTAAATCATCACACTCGAGAATATCAATAGACACTTTCGAAAAATTATTTAAAGACCGGGATTCCTTGGCAAACGAATCGAGACAACTAGACAGTGCCACCATGGTGATGCCATAAGCATGACATCACCCTTTGTACAAGAGTACATGCATATATTTGACTTAAATAACCAGCCTTGCCTCTTATTGGTTGCATTATTCATTCTTCATCATCTCTAAAATTAATCTCCCACTCTCTCTAGCTCTCCTCTCCCTCTCCCTTCTTTACTCTCGGCTAGAACACCTCCCACCTCCGGTGGATTTTTCCAACCACCATCGAGGGCAGCAGCCCTCCTCCTCCCTCGCTTTCTTATTCGTTGATCACAACCCCTAAACACCCCCTCCACTGTCGTTGTTTCCTGTTGCTTTTCATCGACTTCTTGTTGCCAACGACGAGAAGAAACCCACGAAGGGTTCGCTGTCAGCCGCCCCTCCTTCGCGACTGTTCAGCCACCACCCACCAACCCTCATGTTTAGCTACTCGAACAAACCAACCCTGGTGATCTTTCGAGTTCAAAGGGTTGATTTTCAAGTTTCTCACTAGGAGTTTTCTAAGTCTCGGGTTTTTGCTTGGTTCAAAAAGCATCAAGATCAAAGTCGAGAAATCACAACCCGACCCCCGATCTTCAAATCTAGCACACATTCATGCAACTAGGGTGAGTTTTTATGACCCTTTTTCTATTTTTAACACTTTCGGGGAAGATACATAAACGTCTCATTTTACGATAATGTACGCTTATATATGTTCATCATATGTTTCTTTACATTTATTGTTTTTATTTACAGTTATGTTTATTTCGTGATTTACATTTCGTTATGTTTATTTCGTTATTAACATTAATGATATGTTTATTCGACAATTCACATATTCATTACGTTCAAAATTCTTATAAATATGTTATTATTTATACGATTATAATTTTCGTTATTTTATGTGCATTTTATGTCATAAAATGTCACTTAACAATTGACAAGACAAAACCGAGTTTCAATTGACAAGACAAAACCGAGTTTTATATGTATATATATTCATCTATATCATTTTATACATAAAATGAGAATATATATATAATATATATATATATAATATATATATATATATAACTATGTTTTCTACATAATATAACAATAAACCATTTATTTATATGTTATATATATATAAAATGGATATTTTGTCAATGAAATAATGGTATATATATATATAATATTATATATATATATATATATACCATTATTTCATTGACAAAATATCATTATAAGTCCTTGTACATATGTTTTGTATATAACTAGAGGGGAATTAGTTGCGTCTTTGGCGTTGTGTTTGTTTTTTCTTTCTTATTTCAAGCTGTACCAAATGGCAGAACATAGTATAATATTAATCAAAACATATTACATATACAAAGAAGGTCTTCATACGAATAGCAACATACTTCATTTATTGTTTTATTATAGCATGCTACTTTTTTTGAGTAATTATAACATTGTAATTTGAAAATTCGGCCCAATCATAGCAACACTGAATGTGTAAAATGATTTTTCAAATCACAATGCATTAATTAGAAAAAAAAAATTGAAATTATAAATGTTAAAATAAGAAAAATTTACAAGTTGCTGTAGTTACAAATAAAAGAATCTCTCTCTCTTTTTCCCTTCCAGATACAGACAGACAGACAAAAGTATTTACAAACTACATTACCATAATAAAAGTAAACAAACCTCAAACAGTTTCAATCTCCATCTCTCATCTCATCCCATCTCATCTAGTCCTCAACCGTCTTAAACTGTTTAAAGACACTAATTGTGTCAGACCTGCAATAATTACACATTTACCCTTATCTTAAAATATTTTATAAATCCCCTTTCATCTAACCTTGTCTGTTTTTTTTAAACACAAATCTGTGAGCTGTTTGTTTTATCAATTTTAAGGAGATAATAATAATAGTAATGGATTTTAAGGATGCATTTGTGAGCTGTTTATTTTGTGACAAGTTCAAAAGTACCAAACATTGAAGATCCTTTATATTCTTCACACCAGCATCCATTATTCCTCCCACAAAAATTTTCCAAATACTGTAGCTTTGTAAAATCTACATGAAAAGGCAGGGGTATAACCGTCATTCCCAAGACAACTTCAAAATCAACAATAGAAAGTCAAACTCTAGAATATCAAAACATTTACCGAATCTTGTAATCTGGTTAAATTTACAGTGGTAGCCTATGAAAGCCCTTTCCCGTTCAACAGAATGTAACAATTAATAAAACAAAAAGTCATTCTAATTTATAAATATAAAATAATAACTTCATATTACAATAGATAAATAAGTGGTTGATAAAAGGTATAATGAAAATGAAAATGTTACCTTTGTTGATCTGCCCTCACTTCTGGAACCTGTATACTCCTACTCAATAAATAAATAAAACCCACCTTAGCTTCAAACTCATCTGATGGAATGTACAAATAAAGGAGAATGAGATAGCATACGGAAAATGACAAATATACCCTTTAAAAAGTTCAATTAAGAAAAGGAGAGAGAACTAAATGGTATTCTTTCTCTTACCTCATTCGGAAGGATCTCATCTCATAATTATCCATGACTGTTTATGTCTCTAGCATGACCACTTGATGAAATGTGGAGGGAAGTGAGGTAAATGATTGATACTACTGGAAGAATTCCTCTTTGGATATTACCTGAACATTCTCAAGCTGCAACAAAAAAAATGAGCCATAAAATTAGTAAAATAATTGTTAAGCTCATGCCACCACAACAGTGATGAAAGTTGAAAAGGTAAATTACACCTTGTATTGCATTTTTTAATTTACATAAAACTAAACATTTCATTAAAATTCCCCCAAATCTCATAGCTACTCGTTTTACTCAAATTTATTTTTGGTTCCAAGAATAGTTTGGAAGGAATTGGAATTGGAATTTGTAGGGTTTGGAATATGAAGGAACTGAATTTCGTCATGCATTTGGTTGGCAAGAAACAACAATTGTTCGGTGAAACGGGTATTTGAGTCATTTTAATGTTTAAATTCAAAGGCCAAAGGATTTTGTGTATCCAATGTAATTTAATTCCATACATAAGATTGGAGTGGAATTGAATGCATGGAATCTGGAAATGGAGTAAGAATTATTATGCGTCAAGTGTAACAATGGCTTCATCGCCTCCAGGAACAACATCTTCCATTGACATTATTTTCTCACGGAGTACCTGTGCAGGTGGTTAACCACAACAGTTGTGCGGTGATGATGGTGGAATCATCTTCCATTGACATTATTTTCTCATTTCTGCTTCAAGCTTTGCTTTCTGGTGACGTTCCCATGCTTGAATTTTAATCTCTTCGTGTATAAATCTGAACATACATCAAAATAATGTTTATAAAAAAAATATTTAAAAGGTGAAATAACATTAAAACAAAATAAGAGTAGATGACCGTTTTACCCTTGTGTTTAAAAACACATACCTTGCATTAAGTTTAGATTCTCGGCATCTTCTCACGCAACCACCCGTTTCTCAAACTCAACTCTGAACGCCTCCTCATCCAAAATGTCCGTTTTGCCCTCCATCGCTTTCTTTTCCGTGTCTTCTTTACTTGCCCAAGCCACAATGTTCATCTTTCCAAGTTGTACCCCTAGCTGTAAAGGCTCCTTTCATGTTGTAAGTTTGACTTCTTGCTCGGTCAACTCTTTTGGATCCCGTCACTTATCATGTTCCACGGGTGTGGAATTGGGCACTCTTCTTCCTCTTCGGGGAGTTGATGGAATTGAAGAATTTAGACTCTGAAGGGGCGTTGTGGCCCCCACAGGACCATTTTCCCTCATCTTGTTGACAAAAAAACCAATGGCAAAACGTTAAAAATTACAAAAACAACATATTTTATATTCGACGTGGTATACGAAAAAAGACCATATAAATGATCAATTTGCCCTCGGTCAATCCTGTGCTACGGTGAAAGTGACTACCGATTAAACTGTGATATGCAAGATTAAAAGGAAAAAAATGATATGAAATACATGTTTTATCCTAGTTTGAATTTGTTCCACATTATGAGTCTCT